TCACGTTGCATGTCTCAACGCGGGGCTGGCCGGCAGAAAATTGGGGGATAAGATAGCTCTTAAAATGGAAGACTTTAGGATGGGCTGCTTTCTGCCAGCCGTCCCAGCGTTGAGACATGAAACGTGACCGTCACTCTCGCTATCGGCGCGCTCGGGAACACTAGCGCCGCGTGCCGAGATTTTCAAACTCCGGTCGTCGGTCACTTTTGCTACTCTTTTTCCGTTGCAGCCGTACTCCCATGTACTTTTTTTAGAGCGATGCTGTTCATGGATAGGTTTCCGTGAATTTTTTATGTGCGTGACCAAAAACTCTACGCTCGCTCCGCCGCACGCGCCGTACACACACGCCTTTCCCGTAAAAAAGTTTCGAAGTAAATAACAAGAACGAAGCGTTTGCGAACGCTCGTGCCAGATTCCATTTGTTTTAGGTTTTTGCTTTAGTACACTTGCTTCTGCAGACGCCGGCAGGTGCGGCAAGTGGAACACCATTCCCTGCATTCTCCTTGATGCTTGGGCGATTTAGCATTAGTTCTATTCCATAGATTAGTTATCAATAGGCACTATTTGCAAGATCGGTAGACTCTCAGATAGATAATGAAGGTTTCTCAAAGATTTGCCGCTATGCGGCCCGCGTCGGCCATGTTTACGCTCGCACTGCCCTTTCTCTGTAATTGTTCCAAGCGCTTGCGTGCCTTGTTTCCTTTCCTGCCGCTCTCTTGAGGTGGCGGTCCCGTCGCACGCGTCTTCTTTCCGTGGGGTGGCGGCCTCGTCGCGCGTGTCTAGTCTCCTCCGGCTCCTCAGGGCGGGTCTGTGTCACATGCAAAACAGCTTCACTGGTCATTCACTTTCAAAGAGTGGAATGGCTCATGATTTCTTTCAAGAAATTTTTATAGCGTAGAACTTCAGACAAGAGGGAAGTAACAAGGGCAGTTTCTATAGTCTGCGACTGGTTAAGAGCTGAGTGGAACCTCCTTTCTTCTCTTTTCACTTTAGCAGCTCGAACGCTTGCGAAGAATTCGCCTCCTCTCCGGCGTTCGCTTTGGTAAAGCGGAAAGAAGTGGGATACGCTTACCCGGAACTCCTAACTTCTCACCAACTATAAGCCTCAACACAAAAAGTAAGGAAAAGGTGGCGGTAGTTCTTTGAGCTGAAAACATGAAACCTCTAACTTTGTTGAAGGTTTCGCATTAGAAATCCGGGGACTACTAAGCATTTCTTATGATTTGTGAATGCGAAAGCATGAATGCCGCTCTTCCACTTCATTAGATAGTCTGCGGCGTAGTGGCGTGGACGGCCGCGTTTGGGCACTGCCAAGGTGGATGCCGACGGTCGAGCGAGCGTTCTGGTGAAGCGGCTGCGCTGCGTTGAGCTCGGCCGTACAACCTCTGCGGAGTTTGCCCGGGCGGGCTCTGGGACCAGGCCGGCAACGTCGTACCTCGCCTGGCCGCTGCGTGCGCTGCGCCGCCATGGAGATGGCATCTCTGTTGGAGGTTTCTGGAACTACGCCACATAGAGCAATTGGGAGCCTCGTTTCTTAATGACCCGAGCAAGCCAATGGGAGCCTAGTTATCAGAAATCGGCTTCACTTCGCTCCATTTGGAGAGGTGAATTTAGCTGCCCTTTTACGTGACGTTTTGCGCGGCTTCAACGTTGTGAGGCTTCATATAGCGGCTCCAGTTCGCTCCATTGGGACAGGGGTATTTAGCTGCCGTTTTCCGTGGCTTTTGGCGTGGCATCAAAGCTGGGAGCCTTCAGATCGTTGCTTCACTTCGCATCATTGGGAGAAGAGAGTTTAGCTGCCGTTTGGCGCGGCTACAAAGCGGATGACGTCAGCTCGCTCCATGGAACAGTCAATGCTTTATCATTAAAAAAAAACAAAAAAAAACAAACAGGCAGACACTAAAATACACACGTCAATTGCACGTCACTAAAAAAGTTGTGTATCGACCTTGTAACTCATGTAAAAAAAATGACAAACTCAGCAACGCCGGCAGCCCCGTAGCCCTATTGTTGTTTGAACTGATTACAGATAAAATATTAAAGGACAACACATTAACGCATAAAATTCTTCGCCATTAACTGCACATATGGGCTCTCTCATCATATAAATCTCTTCACAAGAAAACGTAAAACACGTTTTACATATCAACTTGCAGAACAATGGAGACTAAAAATTGTAAAAGCCTATGTGTAGTGTAGTTTATAATTAATATTTACAAGGAAACAGAATGATAAATGAAGTACAATGTATAAATATATTTGATTTTTTTCTGCGGAAAACTATCGGTATGACAAGTAAAGCTTTCGTTTAATAAAAACAACATCTCTCTTTCTCTCTCTCTCTCTGTCTCTCCATATGTATATATATGTATAGATAAATAGCGATAAATAAATGTCACAGTCGAGCTTTTGCTAAAGTTGCACCTCATACATTGCCACTCTTTGGAAACACAATAGACGTAAAAACGTGCCCGAAGACGTGAGGTGAGCCATTAGGAGCACTTTCCCCTTGACTGCACACCCAGCTAGAAACGCGGCAACAATGTCAAACACAGATCCACCCATCTTACCGGCAACTTAAAAAAATGAGCTTCGAAGTTGAACGCAGTAAGTGACTGTCTTGGTTTATCTCTGTCGCTGATGTTTATTAGAGCTGAAATTTCCAGAAAACAGCACACAATGCATTGAGTATTTTTCTAAACGTGTGAGCGAAAATGACATTACCCTAGTAAAAAAAATCATTTGTATGAGAAATTTCTTGTGTCCAATAAACACATATGAATCATACAATATATATAAGAACATACAAGAACATATAAGAAACATATAAGAATTATATGAGAACTATATAAGAATTATATAAGATATATAAGAACCCCATAAGAAACTTATAAGAAAGTTCCCACTAGTTTCTTATATGGTGCTTCTATGTTCTCATATATCTTATATGGTTCTTATATAGTTCTTATATGGTTCTTATACGGTTCTTAGTTGTTCTTATATGTTCTTATATATCTTGTATGATTCATATGTGTTTATTGGACACAAGAAATTTCTCATACAAATGAGAATTTTCAGATTTTCAGAAACTGCTTTAGCTGTATTTTATTTCGGAGACGCTATACATATCCATGTTTGGAGAATAGAAGCCTTAATTTTTTGTGCCTAATTTGTCCTTGTAAATATTCAAGGAAACGTCAAATAATACATTATGCATTAAAACTGCTTATTTCGCAATAGTGCCAGAGAGGAAATAAATCATATTGCTTCGCTCTGTCAAATCTTATTGTGCGATTGAGTGTGCGCCATATTCAGCGATTTTACGTAATTATAGACACAGCGTGCTACTCAATCATCAAATATCAGTTTAGGGAACCGTACAGAGTTAAATATTTGTGAAAACGTGAAATTAATGCTCTTATGTTGGACTTGTATACAAATATGGGGTGTGAGAGCAGCGTGATTGAGAAACTGGGACTGCCTTACACGCGTTGTAGTAAACATCTGTGTATCTAAATGTTTTACAAACACGTATGTACGTAAAACAAGACTTTGCTAAGCTTCCTAGCTCAAACATCATCAATATGCTGTATTGCTGTAAAAAAATACTTTTCGATATGTAAACAATGGAGAGTCGCATTTAAAAAGGGTTATGAGGAATCTGTTTAATAAGCTTTGAAGCAGTCTTCCCTAACACAAACTAATTATAGTGAAAGCTACACCTTCGGGCTCTACCTTCCGGTTTACTGACGCCAAGGAATATCTTTCAATTTCAAGAAGACAAGAGTAAACATTAAAAAAGAAGTGAAAGCAAACTGGGGCAAAAAATCACCACAGCAAAAAAAAAGGAAACCATAAAGGAAAAAAAGAAAAACGGGTTACGCGTCTATTGGGGCTTATTGGGCCGTCTATTGGGGCTTAAAACCAGAACACGCTCATCGGGAGGCTAGATTGCCCGTAAATATTTAGGAGATACGGCTGTACTTGATATCTTTATAGTATATTGAATATACGTGCCGTACATATTTGTATTATATTACTCGCACGGTATGCGATTCGTGAAACCAAGTCTTTTCTGCACTCGACTAATTTATTTTTAATGCGTTAGCATTAGTGCCGCGCAGTGGGGGACGGCGGGTGTACCGCTGGGGCGCGTGTGATCCCCCCCCCCCCTTTGCCTTCATTCACGCAGCTTCGCGGCGGCAGCCTGCGGATTGCTCATTATTAAATATTAACCCACCCTGGGCCACCCGTACGCGCCGCCTCACGACGCCTCGCCCCGCCGGCGACCCAAGTGCGTGCTCGCCTCTCTGTCCCTCACCGCACCTCGGTGGTTTGTTGTCACGGCACGCAGTCGCTCTCTATAACCCCGACCTGCTCTCACCACGGAGAAAAGGGATTTCGGGAAAGTTCACTCCGCGAAAAAGTGCTGGGAGGCTGAATTCACACTGCTTTGTTGTGTATAACCGCTGCGCGAAAGGCTAACGCATTTCTTCCGAAAATCGTCCTGGCGGTAACAGCAATTTCGGCCCGTTTTTTTAAAACATAGTTCACTACCGTTTCTTATTAGTCCTGAACACAGTTTCTGGGTGCATACGAAGGTAGCAGATATTATTGGTCCTTGTTGCAGTGATTGTTTAACTGTTTCATGTATAAACTAATGAATGGACATAATGTGCCAAGGAAACACCGCATGCTGCAAAGTAAATGTATTGGCTTATGAATGCGCTTCTAAGCATTTGTATATGGATGCAGAATATGAACAATTCTTTCGTCTTCTGGATCATATATTTTTATGCTTTTAATGAAAACGCCTGCACGCACATGGTTTACCATTTTTAATATCTGGAGAGTTATAAAGTTTTGTCTTTTAAAAGGACGGGAAAAGACTATTATCGTAACAAAAGAGCAGCAGCGACCACATGAGTTAGAGAAATAAAGAAACACGCTTTGCCACGAGAACAGATGTGTCTATATGTGTTCCCTTTTTTCCTTTTCAGAAGCTACCTTTTGAGCTCGAAGAACAGAAGGACAGCCGTGTTTGACCCTCAGCGTATAAGAGATTTTGGGCATCCAGATCTTCTTTTGAAGATGGGATGTGAATAAGACAGTGCTTCACTAGTCGTGTCTTCATCTGACTCTGTGCACGGATGTTCTCTTGGACACTGAACGGACTTAATGTTTCTTGATGACATGTGGTAGGGAAGTGTAAAACATCTGCATGAAGTGAACATTGAAAAAGTATGTGGAGTATGTTGTTCAAAAGAGCTATTCGTACCACCTTCATTTTATATGCAAATAAACTTGTCACCATTTGTTGGCTTAATGTGTACGCGTTTATATAAAAAAAGGCTTGAGGATAATTGTGATTGTCGTTTGATCTTAAACGTTGAACCTATTGTGTCGTGGATACTGTGATAGCGAAAGGTTTTCCAATCGTTTCTTCTACAAGAGTTATCAATAGGCAACGATTGGCCGAATTATTATTGCAAAACGTTTTTACGAAAAAAATACTCGGCTAAGTTTACAACTTCACAGTATGTAATTTCACAGATATTCTAATTATTTTTAAAAGAAAATCCCAATATGGACTTTTATTGCATCTTTTTTTGGACATAACAGTTTTAACAAGACAGAACTGCATCGATAGAAATAGAGACGTGACGCACTTGGCAGAGTCATTAACGTTGGCGATGAAAAGTGCAGAAATCTTATAAATATTTTCGCACGTACGTCATCTAAATTTGTATTCATACTGATATGGTAACCCAGGAGCGGGGGGAAAACGGGACGACGGACAACTGTAATCCCCCACCCCTGGGTTGTTGTCATATAAGTATTGAAACGGCTCGGCTGAACACTTGCTTTAGTTTCAATAATTATTTTCATGTTGTGGGACAATATTTCCCACAGAAGTTTGTAAGCGTAATTCAGAGACGCGCTATTCTATCTTTTTCGTTATATTCCTGAAGAAAAATGGTAATGCGTCAAAACAGATATTTTAAACATACAGGATAGCAAATCTGTGTGCTGGAACAAGGCGTTTTGAAAGCAGAGAACCATTTAATTAGCACATAGTGTGTTTCATATCGGGAGAGGTAGATATTTATTCAAATACAGGCAGTATTTTCGGGCTCGCGTATACCAAGGAAATCAATACGATCGAAAATAGACATCTCCCTGTTGTTTTTCATCACAAAATTTAAACAAAAATGTAAAAATAATTTCTTCGGCAAAACGCATAAGCACCAATCGGACAAACTGACCTGGAGGATAATTCTACATGTTAAAGGACATAGCCTCTAAGATATAAAATAAATTCATAAAAAAAATAATTGCTCTCCGCCCTTTCCTACTAGATTTTATCTTACACGCACGTATCTGTGTGGTTGATGAAACTAAACAAAAAATATTGATAAATAATGTAAATACGGATATGTAGTTCTTAGTTAAAAAGTTGAACGTAGTGTTTTGATTAAATGCAATTATTGCAAAGGTGAAAGCGAGCTGAACAAGAATAACAATAATAATCGATGGTGAAGGGGACCAAAGGGGACAAAGGATAAACAGAAATCTCCAAACACAGCTAGGTAACTGGTGTCTGACCGAAAAAATCCGCCTGGTCCTTGTATAGAACCAGGGACTGTTCCATTTACAGTGGAACGCTCTACGAACTGAGCTAACAAGGAATTAGTCGTCAGCAGAGCAAACGGGTTTTATCAGCTGCCCGGCGGATCAGAGCGTTCCATTGGAAATGGAGGGGTCCCTGGCTCGATACCAGGACCGGGAGGCATTTTTGGGTCGCACACAAGTCACGTAGCTGTGTTTCGAAATTTGTGTTTGTCCCTTGCCCCTTTATTCCCCTTCTTCAGCGATTATTATTGTTGTTATTGTCCATCTCGCTTGCACCTTTGAAATTATGATATAATCATAACTTTAAAATGCAGGCCTTTCTTTAATAGTTGTTGTTAGACTGATGGAAGCTGATAAAACCTGTTTGCTCTACTGACTTTTAACTCCTGGTTAGCTAGTTGGTAAAAGAGCGCTCCACTGAAAATGCAGAGGTCGCTGGTTCAAAACCTAGACCAGGCGAATTTTTTCTGTCGCACACCAGTCACCCAGCTGTGTTTGGAGATTTCTGCTTGTCCCATGTCCCCAATGTTCCCCTTCTCCAGGATTTTTTATTCTTATATAAGTAGCGTGCTCCCAGGTGAAACGTTTTTTTATTACTCGAACGACCCCTGCTTGTTTTTGGGCATAAATCATGCAAAGAGGAAGCAAGAACAAGACAAAACGTGGATGGGCACACTATTATCTTCCAAATCTACAAGCACAGCCAAGGCGTAGGTCTAGAGTAGACAATTTAGTCTTGTGTATTCCCATGTAGCTGGAGCAAATATTCAGTTCAGTTGTAATATTGTAAGCTTAGACTTCTGTTTAACTCCATAATGTAGTTTATTAGCCTAACAATTACACGAATATAATCTTCAGAAAAGACAAATAGTCACTAAGAGAGGATTCCAGTACAAGACACATCATATAAAATCTAAATTATAACGATAAACAACCTCACGCTGTTTGTATACCAGAAGCATGCCTCTAAACGAGGAACATTGTAATACATTGAAAGGTATAGTTGCTTAGAAAATTAAGTGCTGTAGAAAATAAGGTCCCTGTTTTGAAGGGGATGGGTGGGAGGAAGAGGCCATGTCGTAAAGTATGCGAAAACTTGCCTCCGCTTGAATATTGGCGGCCTAAAGATCTGCTGCTTAATATGTTCAGTAGACGGTATTTTTCTGGGCTCAATAACAAAGATTCACAGCCATAGAATCTAGTAAAATCTTATTATAGAAAACTTTTCGCTCGCTTTAAGAAGAGTGAACACGTTTACTGGATACTTTTTGTAGTGCTTTATAAAATATTGATTTAGAAATAGTGAATTTGATATTAATATCCCTAATATATTTTCTAAATTTATTTATGAAGAATATGTTTTATTTAATCAAGAAAACAAATGTTCAATTTGAAAATGATTGGTGACAAGATAAAATGAAAGAAGAAAGCTTGCATTTTTAGTGGACTTCATGAGTTACGTATTGTTCAAAGTCGAGTTAACTTTAACATGAACTCTGATCAACTAATCTACAAGAAATGTACGTAACCAGAGGAAATCCTGAGTGGATGTGAAAGCCTTAAAAATTACCTAGGACTACGGTCTCGAGCTGCTAGTACAACGGGAATATTGCTTCATATGTAGTCTTATATCATGGGTCGAAACACTGTGCTAGAAGACGACGCTGTGCGCAAAGAAGCCACGAGCACACAGCACGCGCGGATTGCACAAGTATCCCGATTTGACGACCGGTTGCAAATGATCGGACAAGAATAGATACTAAGTATTCGGTGGTAGCCTCCCTGCCTAAACGAATACAACACTGGCTAAGGGACCTTGTACGAGCCAACGAAGCCTGGACAGCCACCTCAGGCCATGCCAACCTAAGGGACCATCGAAACCTTCAATGACAAGTCATGGGCGACATGGATCGAACGCTTAGGGTTGTATTGTGTAACCAATTTCATCACGAGCGGATTTTGCGGTGCATAGACGTATGCCATCGTTCAAGCTATAGTGGCTCCTTGGAAGCCGGGAGATTTTGGCTTCGATGAACTTTAGTCGATCCTTGGGACACAGTTTTACCCTTAAACCTCGGAGCTATAGAGTCGCGGCAAGTTTCAGCGTCGGGACCAGCTAGCCGACGAGTCAATCAAAAGTTATGTCGCAGCCCTGAAGCAACTGGCAGCAGACTTCAACTTCAGCATACCGTCGACTTCAGCGATAACTGTTCCAACGACGGCATCGCAGCCTTCAACGGAAGATCAGACCTCCGGTACAAGGGCTACGACTGGGACACCAGCAACACCTCTTCGCCACACTAGACTGTCGTTAGACATCATGCTACGCGAGAGATTTTTCTGTGGCATGCGTGACGAGCTGCTGCAGCAACGTCTGTTAGCAGAAAATGATTTTACGTTTTTAGCTGCTTTTCACTTGGCAGTTAGAGCTGAAAGCGCGTCTAAGCAGCAGCAGGAATTCAAGAACAAACTGGAGCATCACGTACACCAGACTGGAAAGAGGAACAAAGAGCCCTCAACACATCAGGAACGACGTTGCTACCGGTGTACGGGATAACATGATCCGCAAGAGTGCCGTTTCAAGAACTCAGACTGCAGGTACTGCAACACGCGTGGAGATATTGAAAAAGCTTGCATTGCCATGAAAATGTACCAGGTCATCAAGCCGCTCAAGGAAGCGAACCAGATAGTGACAACGACAACTTCAGAGAGGCGGATACCGCCTAATCCTGGATGTTCATTTTATGAGCTTCACATGCTGGTGACGGACTCAGCCGTTTTAAAGTTTCACGTGTCCCTTCGAATTGTAGGCAAACTGCTGGAGTTCGAGGTTGATTCGGTTTCCACTTGTTCTCTAATTAGCGAGAAGACCTTCCGAAAAAAACCTGGCCATGGTATCCTCCGAAACTTAAGCACGACGATGTCGAACTCTGTATTTGTTGTGGCGAACGACTCAAGCTTCTAAGATCCCTCCACGCTACCGTCAGATTCAAGTAAGAACACTACGTGCTTCCGCCTCTGGTATTGAATGGATCCGGCTGCAACCTTCTGGCGCGCGTCTGGTTCCATGCTCTACAAGAAATCAACCGAGAGCGACAGCAGAGCATGCCACCAGAGGTACAAACAGTTTTACAAAGCCATTCCACGGTATTCAAGGAGGACATTTCGGGATACACTGGACACCCGCTTCAGTTGGAACTAGAGGATGGAGCAGCATCAAAGTTCTGGAAATCTCGCTCCGTTCCAATAGCACTACGACCTGCAGTAACACAAGAACTCTGCCAACTATGACAGCAGGATAGAATGGAGCCAGTAAAACATTCGGTGTGGGCTTTACGGCCAGTCCTCGTTCGTAAAAATGATTGGCTAAATTAAACCCTTTAGAATAATAATAATTGGGGTTGTGCGGATGTTTAGACAGCGTGTATTTGATCAGCCATTTCTAGTTTTCGACGAGTCACTCACTGTAGATGAAAAATTTAGCCAGTGCAGTACAACCGCTAGCCTGGAGTCTTTAGCGTGCACCACACAGTAGTGGTACACGACCGCACGCAGCTACGGTGCTGATCCAGATCGAAACGGGCAGGGGTGGGGATTGAACCGAAGATCCCTGGGTTCTGCAGCGCGAGCTTTCGTTCCCCGTGCTCCGAGCTGGTGTGCGCTAGCCCACTCGGCCACCGATCCCC